GGGGGGGGGGGGGAGAGCCCAGGAGTCGGTGAGTGTAAGTCAGGATCGTTGATTGCTTTCGGTTTCTGCAGTTGCATTACTAAAAATATTTCATGCCAATAACAATTAAGTTAAATCTGGCGGAACATCTGTACATCTGATGTTATTTTATATAGCTGGTTTTATTTATCTGTATGTGAGGTGCAGTCTGGTCTGTCCGCAAAAAAGGTGCCGTGGGCTTTTGTTTTTCACAGGTTTCAGTTGTCAGAATCTGTAAATAAATGCAGTTGATTTTAATTCAAAACATTTGTGTTCACAATGCTCTTCATTTAAAGTAATGTATAGTTCAGATAATATAGTGACTAAGCTACATATTTGACAACCGGCTTTCGATTCCCGGCAAGGATAAGAGACGTTTATCTTAGCTATTGCGTCTAGACAGGCTGGGGGTAAGGCGGACGGGTCGTCAAACTGACTTCTTATCTCCATATAATTCTGAAGTAAAGAGAAACTGGAGCTATGCCATTATTCTTCCACACGTATTCATGGTGTGGTGTTTGGTTAAGTAAATTAAATTAGAGGAATTAGTTTGTACGTTTCGCGTGATCCTGAAGTTCCGAAATTCATTTACCAGCTACCGATGTTCTAATATTATGTTGTACTCTGTCAAATGCTTGAAGTTTATTTGATGTGTTCTTCCCTCCAGCCCTTACATCAAGTGATGAACCGATATTCAGATTCCTTATTTACCATCTTGTTCATCTGCTCTCGTATTGTTAACAGTAAGAAACAAATCAACTCTCTTTCTTCACCACGGGATGTTTGTCGCGCAGAGGATGTGGGAAGTTTGTAATCTCTTAAGACAGATTCGGTTTGGTCATTTCGTTCACGAGACGTCAGCTGCTTAATTGCTCAAGAGATCAGGTGACGTGTCAGCAGGACATGGTAGGGAGTGAGACTAATCCACTTCATGAATATGCATTCTGCAGGTCTGGTTGGCAGATAAAATGTTTCTTTCTCCAAATAGACCCAGTTAAAATATATTGAAATGAGTAATAATTTTTATATCCCGTTGGGTACAAATTGTTACGTTTGTCTTGTAGCATCCTGTTGTGTTTATCGTATATAATTCTGATCACCGTCACTTTCACACAGCTTTTATCAGTATTTATTATAACAGCATTATTGTAATGTTATTCTGATCATTGATGTCATGTATCAACATGTTTCGAACATTAATTTTCCATCTTCGAACTTTACTGTCCTGTTCAAGCATGATAATGACCTCCTTAACACATTTGTTATGTAGCAGCTGAGAGGTAGACCTTACGAGGTGCGATCGGAAAGTTTCAAGACTGTGTCAATAGAGGGCGAACCGGGTGTAGTACGAGCTTCTGCCGCTAGGGTGTGCGGCCTACATTCATAGTGAATCAGTGTGCCAGCCGGCATCATCGAATTAGCATTTGTTTCTTAGTTACGGGCGTTTTGGTAGTGCATTACACCGACCCTCCTGCGATTTCGGAATGGCGTGTGCATCAAATTTTGCCAAAGACTCGCCAAACCGGCTACGGAAACCTATGAAATGCTAAAGCAAGCATCTAATATAAGGCTAGGCGTAAATATGTTAGCGAAGACAACGTTAGATAAAACATGCGTAGTAAAGAGTTTCGAAAGCATATCAATTTGTTGCGATTCGGTTATAGAAGGACTTATGTTACTGACGCACTTATATTTTGGTAGTGGTTGAGTAAGCAAGACACTACTATCATGTGTAGGCAATGGTTTAAGCCATATGTTTATAGCAGGAATAATAAAAAATACTGCAATGATTTCTAACCAATAGAAGTTCTACAGTTACACGCAAAAGTCAGTGGGGACTGTTGGAAGATTTATTGAAACATGTCTAAGATCGTATGGTGAAAAATACTACTAACTGTAGCCAGAGTAAAAGAAACTTTCTGTTGTAGCGAAATTACAAAATGTCAACAACTCATAAAAGAAAAATATAGTGAAGAAAGACTCCCGGGTTACAAGCCGTGTCAGGTAGCTGAACGGTGAATAAACCAACGTTTGGAGAGCAATCTCTGCTCTCATCCTCAGGGCTGCGTGGTAACCAATCCGATCCTTTGTTACGCGCTCGCTGCTTGGAGTTCTTAACATATCGATTGAGTCACAGAAGCAATTTGATTGCGGTCGTCATGATTCTTGAAATTTTCAACACGCAGCAGGAGTGCTCAAATTTCTGTGCTGCCATCTGTTGGAAAGTATGTAGTAGTAAGAATTCATTCGCCGTAACTCCCAGGAGTACACTCCAGTCCACAGAAACTGGTCCGTTTGCTTACTTTTTCAATTATCTTTAAAGATAATGCTTCTGGTTCGTAACTTGATGTCGTAGGATTTGAGGTTTTCACAGCGGTCGTGGCCTAATTTAAGTTATTATCCTAGCATTTGCCCGTAGAGACTGAGAAAACCAAGAAAAGCCTTCTTCAGGTCGAGATTTGAACCTTGGTTTCCTAGAATACCAAGCAGGAATTGTTTAATCCGACGTTCGGTATAGCATTATTTAATCGTTGTTTCTTATCGTTTTCCTACTAACGATGTGTTACTAAGACGTAATTACCATTTCTAAAAAGTTTGTTATAATAATGTGTTTAATTTATTTTACCGCATTCATGTATTTGATCATATTTTCCGCGAGATTTCCTAAACATTGTTGCTTATTAGGAAAGCCATGTTAATCGGACATAAATTCCGAACTGCGTTTCTTCATACACCTCGAATGTAACTCTCCAAATATTTAACAGTACGAAAAATGTGGAAAAGAGTTAATGAAAAAAATTAAACACCCACTTTTTTCAATACATTTTATACTCGAATCATTGTATTTTCTAGATAGTTAAATAAAATAAATTTTACGCTGTCTTATCTCATAACTGGAGAACCGTGGCTGTCTGCTGCTGAACTAAAGGACCGGAGGATTTTTCTTAGGATATATATATATATTTCTTAATTTTAATTCAAAGCCTTTATTGAACATATGTTTTACTGACTGTATTAACATACGTCTTATGTATAACTTAATTTTATTGCTTACCTGTTTTGTGTATTTCAGTGGTTGTCGATGAGAGGAGAATAGGCTTACTATTGTCACAGACAATTTTTATTATTTATGAACGTGAAAACAATTTACATTTAATGGTACAGAAAGGGATAATTTCGTTCAGTTTTGAAAGGAATCATGAAACGATTATTAATCAAGGAAATTTTATACTAATATTCACAGCATATTAGAAAATGTTACGTGATATTAAGTCATGTTTATTCATAACAAGTTTCTTAGTTCTTGAAGGAATTAAAAAACTATTTTTAGATGAAGTATTTCGTTTAATTTACAAGTCTGGTTCATAACGTGCGTTTAAAATTTAAATTATTTAATTTTCAAATTGCAGTCATTCATTGAAATCTAATCTGCGTGCTTGACTTATGTACGCATGTAAGTTCATATTCTCCATTCACGTCACCTTTTTACTTCACGCAAGAGCAACATCGTCTTCCTCTGTCGGCGGGTCCTTCCGCAGACTCCAGCAGCCTTGCCCTGTACTCACCATCCCACGTAAACCTCTCTTGTACTACGATCGAATGATGTAGGATGTTTCATAAATTAATGTTCGTGAACATATTTAAAATGTTCTCGAAACTAGCACGTTAAATGCAGTTTGAACTCACTGGAAGAAATTATTTTTGAAGCATATTAAAAAAACAACGTATTTATTAATTATGTTATAATGAAACACCTTACCCATTCTATAGTCTGTGAAGGCCATTTATTAATGTGTTACTGATTAATAAAAATGGGCTTCTCGTGTGTGCGTGTATGTGCGTCCGTGCACAAATGACGTAAATTTTCGTAGCGAATCTTCTGAGATGCTGGAAATCTGCCTAACAAAATTAATATATTTAACTTTGAAAAAAATCTGTTTCGACTTTGTTACACGTAACAACTGAAGCAAAGTTTCTCAGACTGATGTCCAAAGGAATTCTTTACTATTGAAGAATTTTTAGCATTAGAATTTCTTTCTCTTAAGTCGTGCATTTCGTCAGTTGAAATAAGCCCAGTTACTTGCTTCCTAACCATGCATCAGAATAGTTGAAACCTGCTAACTTGAGCGTCGAGTGGATGTTCCATTTACATTAGACTGACTAGGGTGTATGAGTCCAATCCAGCCAGATCAGCAAGGGATCATAGTAACAATGTCAGTATTCACGAATATGGAAAAATGCTTTGAAATAAATGCATAGCTTTTATTACTGTATTCATCAAAAACACATCCGTTTCAACAGCTCTCCACGTTATGTTGAAGACGAACACAAAGTTTTCTTTAAAAACGTTTAGTACATGGAATTAATTGATGTTTCTTTTTAAAACTAGTAATACACTGAACAGTTTAAACTTCTATAACAACATGTATGGACAACGACACGCCGTTCAGAAAGAAAGCAAAATTTTATTTTGTGCGTCAATCTTTTTAACACACGAGATTGACTGAATGTAACATGCAGCACAGACTGAATTGAGAACATTAATCGTATAGAGAACCTATGCATAGGAAAATTTGTACGTACTTTGTGATTACGTTGCGTTGGTACACGTGTTTGTTTGTTCCGCATTATGAGCTTTATATTTTTTAAAAATTTATTGACATTTCTTTCAGAGTAATTTTATTTGGAATAATTAGGAATACTTAATATTAATTTATATATATATTTACAGGTGTGCTGGGTTGGAACAGAAAACTGGAATACATTCTGAACAACCCGAAGTAACGTATTTTTTATAAATAGTACAAATATAGATTTATTTAGCCAGGTAGGACCCGTAGCTGAATGTAATCGCCCTTAATGAAATGGAACGTCCGTGGTGGTAAGATTACGGACTGCTGCAACGTTATTTTGGTGAAGCCCCACTACCGTAAAATATTGTGTATAAACATAGGTACAGTTTTCATAAATAAGAATATCCACGAACACATCTACGAAACTTCCAACTCCAGCACACTTGTCTGAATCAGACGTTGAGCTTTTTTAGAAAACTTTTCATATTTTGTACTTAATAATAATCGTCTCGGACGAACTCTTTTTTTGTATACTACGATAGAGCTTGCATTTCACTTATACAAAGTCAGCACCAGTCGTTTGAATACATATGTACAAGGACACATACCATTATACAAGGTTGCCGTAAATTCAATTTCTTATCTTTTTTCCTTCCTTCCTTTCTTTCTTTCAGAAAAAATTAATTTTAATGTTCCCTTATGTGGACAAAGACTAGTGAAAAACTATTTGACTCGGTTAAAAATCTTAAACTTCACCTTATCCGGGTCAGCTCGTTGCATTTCTGTTTAGCTACGGTGTCATAACGTAACAGGGGCTGGGGACAACAGGAAATCCGTAAAACGCCTGACCATGACAACTCAACGATAACAGTTAACTTGTATTTGCATGGAACAGTGAACTTGGGGAATCTGATGTCAAATAAAAACCATTGAGTAGTTCTTATCATTATAATCATGTATTCCTACAAACTAGAGTAAATGCTATACCATGGATATATGGTTTCTTACATGCATGACACATGAAACCTCTGTAAATACAATGTTTAAAATAAGAACCAATAAATTAAATATGCGAATACTTCTGTAATAATACCAGTAAACGGAATTATCTTGTATTTCTCAGCATAACAATCTTAATAACTTGAATTTGCGTTCGGGTCCTTCGAAATTATTACATAAACAGGAGACCGGAGTGAAAATGATGTAAAATGTTTTGGTGGGGCGAGAATGGTCTATTTAGGGCCCTTTTGTTTTTTTTTCTTTCTAAAAAAATTAACATTTTTGAAGGCACTTTAGGTCGGACGAGTTGGCCCTGTGTGTGAGTTTGATTGAGTGGATGCCTAGAGCTGGAATATTTTGCATGTATGTTGAATATCAGTTTTGTTTAGTTGCCTTCAGTCTATTGCGTGTGCTGTACTGTATGTGGTTCCTTGTCCAAATAGCTATTTTAAAATTGAGAACACTTCACAGGATTCTCACTCACAGTCTCCAGAAAGTGAACTTGACAGGATACGATGACGTCACATGCACAGTTTGATACAACTTAATATCAAAGAGGGCACACATAATAAACGTACAATATCTCCAGTTCTGTTTCTTATAAACAATGCATGGCGTATCGTTAACAATTGAAATTAACTGATATTGAAAACAAATACGTGACGGGCGAATAGTCGGTGACCAACTGAATTATAACTTGAAGGATGTATCCCAGAACGCTCAAAGGTTACCAACAGTTTACATATACTACATCTCACACTCAAAAGAATGACTATGTTTGTGTAATGGACTAGAAGATTCTGAAACAGCCTGTTATGCATAACGAACGAACGTACAAACGGTAATGGTGGGAAGCAACCCTTGGGGGCAGTTGCCAGTGATAATATAGTAGTGAGTTGCTAGTGTAATAAAAACATAACAACGACCAAAAACGTTTTCCAGACATGTGAGAACTGTTTTTCTTCTACAGCAAATCATCACACTAGGTATTCTTTAAGAAAATAGAATGTAAGGCAGATTTTGGTAAAAATTACACACAATTTCATTTTGCTCAATTTTTTTTATCATAAAGATAAGGCGCGAAGGTGCTTTAACTAAGCTTGTACTTCTCGTGACGAGGTTTGAATAGGGATCCTAAACATTTCCAAGACCTGTATTTTCTTCTGAAATGAAAACTGCATTGTAACGCAAGCAGGAAAGAACACGCCAAATCTGTTGCTTTTGATCTAAGTATTGCTACATTTAATGGAGGGAGAGAGAAAGAGAAAGAGAGAGAGGTTTTCAAAAATAACAGCACCCTTATGAAAACAGATGAGTGAAGTATCCAAATGGCTCGTGTGCAGAAACAAAACTGTATTTGCGTTTAAAACAAGTTCCAATGAGTAGCGTACAGAGAAAGGAACCGTTGCAATTTTTAGTCAACTGAAGCATGCTGGGAAAAGAATCGTATGTGAAATCTACGTGAAAACCAACAGAAAAACATTCCTCACCACACCACCACCTTTGTAAGGGTTTGCTCCCTGTCAAAACTACAACAACCATGGGGAAAGGTAAAATCTACAGGGCAACAATCACATAGCAGGAGTCAACAATGTCAGATCTATTGAAAGAATAAACAAAACTCAAATCCAGTGGATGCACTGGCAACGTTTGTTTGTTTGTTTTCAAAAGCATTCAATACAGCAATGTATGGTGGGGCATGGGCGAGCCGTGGGAAGGGAAGGGGCCCGCCAAGCCATCGTGTCTACGCGGGGGGGCTACCCGGTCGACGCACGGGGCGACGCGAGCAGTTTTCGGAAGTGGTGGGCGTAGTTCGGTTTGTGAGACGCTGCCGCGACTGTTCTGCATTATATTGTATGATCATATTTGTTAGAACGATGATGATGTGATGTAGCTTCAAAGAAACAAAGGAGTAGCGATACTGCGATCCACGACTCGGCTGTATTTGTGTATGTATGTATATGTATATGTATCTATGTATGTACGTACGTATGTACGTATGCATGTGTGCGTGTGTATGGGTGTGTGTGTGTGTGAGACAAGATTTGAATCCTTCTGCTTGCAGCTGACAAAGAGATTTTTTTAAGTGATGACTAGGTACCAAAACTGTTGAGTCACCTTTTCTTTACGGTAAACAGTTGGCGAACTCAACAGTCCGGAAACTTAAAGGACACTTTGGTTTTTGCTTCATCTCCTCCTTTGTTACCATCTTAGGTTACATCCATCTCCACATCTAGTATCTGATATTTTTATTTATATAACTTATTTATATACTTTCCCTATCTCTCTAGTATATTAGTCGATACGCTGGCAGAGTAGCGGCTGGTAAACTGTGGGATCTGCCTGCCACGTGGATGTATCTGTAAGTACTGAGGGTTCAGACGAGAGACGAAACAAGGACAATGTAAGCTACAGGTGCTCCACTGTAGAAGTGATTGGCTGCTGGATCGGGTTGTTCAACTGATGAATTATATCTGTAAACTGTATTCGTACTGCTTCATTGCTATGGGTGGTGACTGGTTGTAAAAGTATGTTGAGGGGGTATTTGACCAGCTTGCTAGAGCGTCCACTACCATGACCCAGCCGTCTGCCTCGCGAGACCAAATGTTCTATTTGCATTTACTTTTTGATTCTGAAGTCCTCTCTTCACTCGCGGGTGTCACATTTTTTCCCCACTGATCATCACATTGGTATTGAGTTGGCGCGCACTTACACACTCATCGGGTGCTCTTCTCTTCTGCGGCTGTTTCCGTTGCACACAGTAACACAGTACTTTACATTTGTGGGAAAAAAGTTGTTCTCTTTTCATTAGCTTTTTTATACTTTTTACTCAAAAGCAATTATCAAAATTTCTTTAGTGTAAAATTCAATCAAGTATATATATCACAAAATCAGTTACATTGTCGTTCAACATCAGAAGGCATTTTTTTTTTACGTTTTCACCACTGAATATAAATACTGAGTTTAACCTAAGAGAGACAATGGGTTATTTTTGACTAGGAAACTCACCACGACAAATAGTAGGTACAGATCAGAATCTGCCCAGCGCTCCCTTGTACAACACCAGCAGCTAGCTTGACTTAATGTTCATCCCCATTGCTTCAGCTTGCTGACTGACTGACTGACTGTCTGTCTGTCTGTCTGTCTGGCTGGCGTGATGGTGGTTCGTGACGGCGTGAGATCATGTGATTCATAACTACAACTAAAGGTTTGTGCACACTGTGTTCCTTCTGGCAAGAAATAATAATATAATAATTAACAATACCATTTTTTTTACATTTGTTTATCATAGTAAAACGAATTCAGTGTGAACTATCAACGGATTATTTCGACACTTTTAGTCAACGACTAGCACACGATTTAACAAACTCCAACCTCTTCACTACAGCGAGTTCTTTGGTCATTTATATCTGTACCATATTATTCAAATAGTAGATGTGCATTTTACAAGACGAGCCTTAACTCTCTTGGCTTTAAATTAAAATTACATAAACATTATTTACACAATGAACTGCCCACAAGTTTGATAGACAATATTAACTGGAAGGTTTGAGAAGGCACTTCTTCTCAATGCACACCCGAGACGGGTCCTTAAGGTCAGGGGCAAGGGGACAGGCCAGATGGGTCCCCTCCGCCCCTGACTTGGGGGTTGAGGATCGGCACGTAATATATACAAAGAGGTACCTCCCCACCGCACCCCAGGCTAACCAGTCCAGTCCCGGAGTCGGTCACCTTCTGGTGTTTGTTGTCTTGGACTTGGTCACAGTAATCAACAGTGAGAACTATGTTACAATAAAAGATAATATAGTTTTGGTATTTACGACTGTGGGCAGTCTACCATTGAATTGCCTCAACGAAACAGTTTACAGATGTATCAGCCCTTCTGCTGGACTGTCTTCCCATTGGTTACAGAGACGAACAGATCGTGCGGCAAGGAGCCAAGAAGAAGAAGAAGAAGAAGAAGAAGAAGAAGAAGAAGGAGTAAAGGATAACGGAAGAGAAACAGCAGAGTGTAAAGCGCAACAGAATAGGAAAGACAAGCAAGAATAGCTGAACGGAAGCAATCTTGTGTTGTCGTGTTAGGACGCGTTGATGCAGCAGCAGACCCGGATGGACACTGACTGCTGCATGGCGGGGTGAGGGGTGGGAGTGCTCTTCAGGAGTCACGTACTAGTCCTGCAGCTATTCCAGTTGCTCCAGAAAGTTGGGCGACTTGAAATATTCTGGAACAGGGTCGTCTAGACGGGAGATTATCTTGTAGATGGATTTCTTCCACGACTGTTCCGAGTCCTTGCCGCCTTGAATTGCCTTGAAAAACTCCCGGAGGGTCTGTTCCACCACGAACCGGAAATTGGAGGGAACCTGTAAAAAACATAAGAGTAAAGTGACTTGTGACTTGAAGCAAGGTGTGACATATGCAAGCACTGAATAAGGAAATGAAATGCATTCTAAATCGTTTCTTTTTCTGTGTTTTATGATTTCTTATTTGCCTTAGTTACATAAATGTTCCTTATAACGAATATGATTCAGTCCAAGATGCAGGCGGTGGGATTTCTGTATATAGTAGTCTACAGAATGTTAGTGGGAAATGCATTTCCACAAATCTCGCAGGCGAACTTCATGAAAAACTTCACACGTTTCATGCTTCAGACAGGATTCGAAGCCTGGGAAGCATTAGGCACTATTTTTGACTGCAAAACCATACGCTAAGCCACTACTGAACTGCACTGTACACATGTCAGTCGTTCTGATACAATATAATGTCCTTTTTAAAATGTGCTTATTATATATGTTCGAAATGCGAAGATCGAACAATATAGTGGTGTGTTACCGACTGAGTCACGGCATAGCCTGCTGGATTTAGTTCGAATGCATCACCTCTGATAGCGACACAGTTATCAATTGGAGGCGCTGTGTTATGACGTCACTGAGTACATTCATGTGCGTGATCATATTGTGTGGGGGGCGTTTTAACTAAAACTGCTGGGGTCGAAACGATTATGTCCTGGAATGTGTCGTTGATTTACACATGTGAGAAGTGTAGATACTAAACCGTTTAGAGGCTGAAAACCGGATGTCAGAAAGAAAATCACATCTGTATCAGGTTAAAATGTGATTTGCCCCTTTCAGTTATATGAAATATAGCGTGAGAAAACGTTTTATTGTTTTCAGTCGTAACACTTATAAATAATTTTTTTAACAATTTATTTAAATTGCGTAAAATGTATTCATAATTATACCAAAAGTATTTGGAATACAAGAGTTAGTGGGGTAAAATGTATATTATAAAACAAATGTTACTACATTTTAGTTCGCACCGCTCAACTTAACTGTTCAAAATGTAATTTAGCTAATGTAGATTACAGTATTTAAATGCCAGTAATGGAAACAAAGAGCCTGGTGTTTTTTAAAAAAAACGTGAAGTTGTTTTCGTTCAGAAAAAACACAGCTTCAGGTAAAGAAATTTGCGGTACATAACTTTCAAATAATAAGCTCCCTGCAGAAATGTCTGCATATCCTTTTTTGGATGAATCCATTGAACGCTGTAAAATGCAATACACGGTAACATAATTGCCTTGGAAGAAAGCTAAAATATGAGAATCTGACGACATGTATAAAACATAAGGCTTTTTGTCACTGTCAACATCTGACAATAGCCAAGGGGCGTTAATTCGCGACTAACCAACTGGAAAACGACAACCCTGGAATTGCGTATCGATCTGAACTGAATTGAACTTAGACTACTTGCAGTAATTACACTGAGAATGCAGGACATACTGTCGGTAAGCAACCGAATGAGCGTTTTATTAACGGCATGCAAGGTGACGAACAGAAGTCTCTTTTATGTGACTTACTTAAAATAAGAACTGCACATTTAATTCAGAATCATATAAGAATGGCTGTATCTAACTAACTCCTTGGAGTAGAGTCCTTGTTGAGAAGGTAATAGGACGCTCATATAGTCAATAAGTTCTCCGCCTTTTACGAAACCCGAACGTTCATTACCATGATCACAAAAGCCCACCGAGATCCCCATCTCGAGTCATACGAATCCAATCCGCATCTACCGAAACCCTATTTCCTTAAGACATATTTTAATGTTATATTCCCATTAACGCCTTCAAGACTTCCCTCCAAAAGTGTGTACATATTTATTTTCTCTCCCATGCGCGCTACATGCTCCACCCTTCACATTTTACTTGATTCTATCATGCCAATAATATTTGGTAAAGAGTACAAATTGTGGAGCTCTTGATCATGCAATTTTCTTCACTATCCAGTAATTTCATCTCTCTTAGGTCTTAAGTACCCTGTTATTGACGGATAATGTAACAACATACTTAAGCATGCAGGCCATGACAGAAATGCACGAATTTGCTTTATTAAATGCGCCTCAGCGAAATGCATTCTCATCACCAATAAGATTAATGAGACAGGCAGAGAAAAGAAGTAAAAGAAGAAGGCAGAAGAATAAGTAATGGCATGATTATAAAGAAATGTAATGTAAATAGAACAATAAATTATTCTCTGAAATGAAACTAGGCGTGCTGCCAGAATGTTACATAGAACCCCAACGCCGTAGACTGTGACTTTAACTTAAGACGAGAGGAATGAAGCAAAGTTACTGAAGAATTTACGAGTGATGGTTAGATGTGCTTTGGACTGAAATCGACTTACATATGCAAATTATAAATTAGCACAATTAGAAATATTTGACTATTAAAACGCCAATGAAGCATATGAACCATTAACTGTATGTATAAAAAGGGAAGTACGTTTTATGTGGGAAGTTATTGTACGCAAGGAGAATTCATTGTGTCTATTTTAGACTAGACGACCCCATGCTATGTTTCGTTCTATTAATATGTCTTACTTTTGAAACTAAATACTTCATTTACATACATGTAGGAATGTAGTAATTATTCAGAATAACCGTAGGTCCTATATTTGTAAGCTCGACTTGTGGGTTGTAACATCACGTGGATTTCTAGGTAGATACGAAAGTTTCAGAGGAAAATATCGGTTCCATCTTCAGCACTAAATTACATCTCCGCACAAATAAATTTCTGTACTAAGTTAAATAAAATCAATTGATTTGATATGACTTTACAAATATAAACTCTTTTCCATCGATTCTCACTCGAGTGAGACAAGTGACCTGTCTATATCGCCAGTCTGACTTCGTTAAACATTTCTGAAGCCGGAAATTTTATTTTTAGCAATTTATAATTACATTTGTAATGACAATCAGATGTGGTGCTGAACAATATAAAAACTGGAATTCATCCTTAGTATTTAGTGATGTAGTGTTCAGATTAAGTATAACCAAATTTTAGTCCGATAACTACTAAATGCTTTTGTGCGTTTAGTAACACCGAATAATAAGTTTATTATGCAAAATTATCCATAACATTAGATGTATCACCAGAGTTAAATATTTTGTACACGGAGGGGCACACTGAAGTTATGGAAGAAACTGCCTATTACCCGCAAAGCACGGCTGAATATTATCAATAGACCATGTTCTATACTGTTTAAAATATAAAGAATTAATTGGATAACTAAAATACAATTAGCATTTAAATGTATAGGTACTGTTAATATTAATTTGAATTTTCATAAACAGTTGTGTAAAAACACTTTTTGAATAGGAAGCAAACTGCTTCAGGAGTTCAACGCCCATGTTATCATTCAGTGATCTTTAAAATTACATGTTTCATGGACCACTGTGCACGATCACTGAGCTGTTTTGAATGATGTGCACATCGATCGCTGAGTATTCACATGTCCTTTTCACACGTGTTTACCACAAAATTCCCTCTGAACTGTGGTGGTGGCAGGTGAAACGATTTGCCTTAATCCGGAAATAGGTGGAGACATTTGGCGACTCCAGCAATTGCAGGAATTTTATTCTTACACCTAGTCTCAACACGCTAAGGTCACTGTGTTCAACTATCTTGACTGAAATGTTTACGCCATCGTACGCATCACCGTGTTTAATGATTAAATGTAGTCTAATGAGAGTTTTCGGATATGAAATAAGTGGTCATATTCAAAAGATATAACATTTTGAATAACTTGGGCTTCTTATATTTGCCCTGTTCAATCGTGGCTAATGTAGCCTACTTTAAATATGCAATCCTCAGCCAAGTTAGGATCAATATTTCTTCTTCTAATGCGTTTTGATTTAAATTATTGGTCAGATATAAAATATCTGCCTCAAGATTAAAAATTGTAATAGGACATTATATTCAAAAATTGATCTAGATTAAATATATAATTTAAATATTCTGAAAATATTATTCAAAATTGATTGCAAGTAATTTTAATGTGTTCAATAATAATTTCACTGTATAAGGCCATGGAGAGGGGAGCAGCGAGAGTGGAGCGTTTATGTTAATGGTGTTAGCCCGGCTAACACATTGAAGAAACGAAAAATAACTCTCTCCGTCTACCTTTTATGGTTCATAGCCAAACAAGCTTTGTTAGCAAGATATCAGAGGCTTACGCTCGCGGCTAGCATAATACCGCCTCGCTAACGATGCTTTTTATCAGATTGCCACTAAGCCACGAAAGGTAGACAGAAGGGTTATTATTTTTTGTTTTTCAAAGTGTTAGCCGGGTTCACACGGCTAACACGATTAACAAAAACGCTCCGCCCGTGGAAGCAAGACACTACTGAGCTTGAGAATAGAAGCTAGTGTAGGTAGGAAGAGCTCGCACCTGTGGACCCCATACCTCTATGTGGTTGTTCCTGTTGTAATGAAGGTTGAGCACCCTGTATATCTCTGAATCGCCGCTCACATGAAGGTCTTCTGCGTTCTTGACGCCTTCGCTGACCGCCTGCCTTGCGTACTTCTCCATCTGGATGTAGTAGAACTCTCTGAAACACAACAAATACGTCAAACATGAAATTTGGGATTCTCACGGAAGTGATGTCGATGTACGTCTCGTGCACTTCAAAGTAGATAACATCGTTTCGGACGAACGCACTTACTCCATTTTCAGGGCTGGAGGCAGTATATTTCTCCGAAATGTTGGTATATACTACAAGCACAACACGGCCTTACAACCGGGGCCAACATCGACACGTTACGTTTTCTTGGTTGTTGCTTCTCTGACGCCTTTCCTTCTTTCTGAAATATTATTTTTTACATTCCTTTCATTTGTATGGTCTATCGTCATTCTTAACTTCCCTTTTCTCTTACGTACTTTTATTTTCCCAAACGTTCCACATCTCAGTAAATATTTAAATGTATGTCACAAACACACACGGGTAAGAGCTGATTTAGTATGGACTCTGACGACCGCTTCCTTCCACATCCTTTCTAATTCATTATTCACTATTATCCTCTCATTCGACGCTATGTAGTCTGAGATACTGAAAGCGTTTCTAAATAAATTATTGGAAAAAATTATGGGCTCTGCAATATAAATCTAAAACAGTTTGTGTGTGACAAATACCAGAGAACAACATTGAAAAGTATAATCCCTGACTTACGTAATTTCATCGTTTTTTTCTCGATGTTCGTGTCCATTTAAATATATTTTATGTGTGCGGAAGAAAACACCCACTCACGACCCCAAACTGTCTTTTATACAGAGTGATTCAAAAGTCCCTGTTCGCCTGTAAGTACACATGTATTCTTCATCGTGAATCTAGTGTCCGTTACGAGTTAGAAGAAGTGCTGTAGGTGGGCATACAGTCACGTGTACCACCGAGGCTTGTCCTTACGGGTATACGGAGAGGGACTTTTGCATCACTCTGTACAATACGTACAGGACATGCTACTCTGGTTTTAACAAGACGAAATGTATGCGTGTGTTTGTAAACGTAGAGACAATAATGACGATTTATACGTAATATGTTGACAGGTAGCAGGTTCATACTCGTATATAACTCGTTCTATGCAGCTATGTAATTCCTAGATATGGAGAATTGTGACTCTTATAAGTCGTAAGATCTGAAGCAAAAACAGTAGAACAATGCAGTGATGGATGTATACACATGCAAGACCTTTCATGAGGAATTCTTTTCAAACAGGAATGACGAGTTGAGACCAAATTGGAACTTTAAGGCCTAATTCCAAGGTTGAAAAATAAAAGCTAACAACGAAGGGAAATGACACTTGGAAGGCGCATTAGATACTGGAGTAGTCTGAATGTAAAAAAAGAGAGTAATGTTAAAAATAGCGGGGGCGTCTCTAAGTTGCATCCTCGTCCACAAATGTCGTAACTTCAACAAACCGAGTAATTTGTAAGATTGGTTCCACGTTGTTGGTTGCGCAGTCTGCTCACCTCACTGGTCCTCTTGTTTGTGCACTCTTCTGCTCCTCCCCCCCCCCCTACACCCTCCAAATGCCCGTTTCCTTTCTCTTCTTATGCCTACTAGTTCCCGTCTATTCCAAGATTCGTTTGGCTTTTCCATTGAATCTTGTTGCTAATGTCCCAACACACTGACAGAAACAGTTACTTCTGAATTAAATTCCCTTCTCTCACATTTTCTTTTGACTTTTCCTTTGAGTAATTCAGAAAGCCATAATTAGCTATTTCCCTATTAATTAGTCGTAACCAATTAGCGCCGTGAAATTAATGGTACGAAGCTGTAATGTCATCAGTAGGAAACAAAGCAACGCAAATTTTTAAGAGTGTGGTAAGCAAAGTAGAACTTGAAGGCGGACTGCCGTATGCGACCAATTACAAGGGACAAGGAACATTTCCTTGCCATTTCAGTTACGTGTATCAGTTTGTGATCGAAGATAAATATAGCAAGACATGCACAGTGTTTATGTTCACCTTAATCTGGATCTCAACTGACTTATGGCATGTAACAACTATCTATGCGTCCTTTGATACGTTGGTGATTAGGCTTTATCAATATCTGAGATGCTTTGTCTAACATTCGGTTACAGTGAACGTCAGAGCAAGGTGATTATTACTCACGCTTGTTGCTGGAGATGTGCCATGTTTTATTCTTTATCCGACGATAGGTTTAGTAACAAGTTTTTCATTATCTTCCTCAGTCCATCTAGGTAGACGTAGGCAGTAACTTAAAATAAGCTACAACTGCTTGATGTAATAGTATCCCAGTCCATCATTCGAGATTGCCCTTAACATTTAACCTACACAATTAGGAAAGTATCGTTAAATAAATATCCAAGTGCGTCAGAAGGTTTTTAATTCTGGAGAACATGGGGAAAAGTGATTTGAAACATGTGTACGTGTAGCTGGCACATCTTATCCTGTTATTTTAGTTCTATACTTTAGAGCATGAGGGTTGAAATTTTCGTCGTGGTACGTTCTTTATTATACTATAAGACGGAATTAGTTTATTACTATCGTATAAAAAGTCTGTTTTGTGTTTTCGTTGCTACATATCCTTTAATTAGGAGTTTTATCACCTGAGATTAGAACTCAATTTTGTAAGGTCAAGAGTAAGGCGACATCACTGATATGGACACAGAAATTCGTGTTAAACGTACAACCTCTGTAAAAATCGTAAGTAAAATCTACGCTCTTGCAGTGAGCGTACCTCACTGTAACTTGGCCTGTTTGTACAATACTCGAAAAGGGAGGCGAAGAACCGTCGAAATGCGGGGCGCCTGCTCCCATTTAGGCCCTAATTGGGGCTCTTGACATGAGCACCTAGAACAGCATCAGTGACTCTACTAAAGACACATCCAGACTGTTCACGTCTGCGTCGCTAGAGAAGCCACTCGCAGAAGTAGCATCACGTCACAGCAAATTACTGAAGCACAAGTTAATAATGAGTTACAGTCCTTTTTTCGATAACGGCAGAAAAATTAGCTAACGACTAAACAGAAGTGTGCTGTTTAAACGAAAGTACATTCTTCGCTTGTGAACTTTTCAGTCAAAACAGATTTTGATTTATATTTAGTGTGATAGTAGATACGTCATTATTTACTGATCTAATCGACAAATGCTTACTTTTCTACAAGTGTGTAAGGTGCAATACTTCGTTTGAACCACATCTCGTTATGTGTTTTCTGTTGGGGACGCGATGCAAGAGCTAATTGAAGGCACACCCCTTCACTCTTTGTTGACGTTCTATCAACTGGGATGAATCCCCCCCATTCTAACTTCAAGTAACACGAATCGATGCACCAAATAAATTCCGAATGTCGTTTTTATTTCTACCTTCGTGTTAAAACCCAAACTACAGCTAACTCTGAGTATTCATATATGTTGAAAGGTGTGGAAACTGATTTGTATAATTGGCATCTTAAATGTGTATTTACAATGAAAACTCATCCAGTCTGTGAGGCTATATTATTTAATTGTACTTCCAACAAAAAATCTTTGTTATATAAGCCCAGTAGTTGTGTGGATCCGAATGAGAAATCCTTCTAAAATATGAAAGTTATGTGTATATAACCTACAGTGTGTTCAACTTTTTACAACACACAACCTGACGTTATAATAACACAAGTCAATCCCAGTGGCATTATTCATTAATCACTTTATAAAAACAAAGAAATAAAATATTGTAACGAAACATTTACATTACAGAATTAAATTACGTCATTTACATGACAAAGTAAGGCGTTTATATGTAGTTTCTTGTTATCTCTGTACTTACTGAAATTCCCACTTAAATTTCAAACGTCTGCCTCTTTTATATCCTTATTTTGCATCTCAGCTAACCTGATTCATTTTACGCAGTTTTTCTTTCATTTCTTTTAGTATTAATCAATAATAGCTTTTCTAATTTGATCAGTTCTCTTAAGATGAATCAGTTAAAAGTGGAAATAAAAAAGTGTTTCAAAATTTTGTATGGAATATAAGGGCGAAACCTGTGCCTCAGGATCAGGCATATTTAAAAATTTAAAGCTTACTGGTATCTTTATGTACCATCTGCTTTAACATTAATTAAACTTGCATTTTGCCACATAGTATTTTTATAGCTTACACATATTTCTCAGAAAAATCAGTGAGTATTTCCCCCCCCCCAAAAAAAAAAAAAAAATTAAAAAGTTAATAGTTGTAATGGTTACGCCTTAGATTTTCTTTGCTGTGATATTCGGCTTCAAAGGGTTAATCCATTGTATTGGGTTGCTTTGTTGTTTCTGGTGTACAGGTGCCCCCAAGAAAATGTATACACAGTGTAATACGGTGGCCGCTTGTAATTCAGTTGGTGGCCGCTGTCAACTGTGCCACGACCAACTACACTAGAATGTTGGCATATATAATGATTTAGTTTATTAAAATGTCTTTATTTCCTTTATCGAGCGTGTGTATACATCTTTTTGGGACATTCAATATTTACTCTGACCTAAAATATCTTTATTAATGTTTTTCGTTTCCTGAAATTTTAGGACTTATTCGTATTTACCCTCACACTGGCCAATTGCAGTGATAATTATGTGAGAAAACGTAAAACACAGAAGACAGTATTCGTATGTCTGTAGAGACGTGTTAGTTATGTATCCAAAACGGAACACTGCCGAGGTAATACCGTAAACTCTTTGGCGGGTGTGTATAAACCGGTAATGAATAAGAGAGATAGCAGTTTTTAACGACACCGTCGTGTACTGCTGGTTCCATAAAAGGTCACCTGAGTTTTCCGAGAAAGAAGGCGTTTTCGAGTGATGCGAGAACACTGTCGTACAGTGCATTAGGTAATTAGGCTAATGAAACTGATTAGCTTGACTTTACTGCAACTGACTCTCTGATTACTGTATATTCATTCTTGAATTCAGTGCTACTAGAAGGCCATAGAAGACACGCATGAAAATTTCCGAAGATTTCAGATATGAAATCTCATTGGGAAAAGAAATATGTGTTTTATTGGCAGGAATTAAACTGAACTGATTTCTTGACATGACTTGGTTTCAGCAAGGACGATAGCACATTAGGCATTCC